CCATTTTGACCGTATAAGAGGTTACATATAAAATATATGTTAATAAAATCACATTTAATCAAGTAAGGCTATCAACATAAAAGAAATCCGCGTCTGACTTATACAGACGTTATCGAACATTCCGCGGCCACCTCTTTCTAACGGTAATCTGTTAACTCATATGGTTTGCATAAAAATATGAATTACTAACCAGATGTATGGCGAAAACGTTGCCGACCGACAGCGACGCGATGCACGGCCTGCGTGTTCTTACAGAGGGAAGGGAACTGAAGAGTTCTTCATAAAATGGCAGCTTGTTGTGGTTATTTTTCGCGGTCATTTCGTACTAATGTATTTGAATTTACAGTAACATCCCAAATGGCTACATTGAAGAGTAGCCTATCATATACATATTATATTAAAATGTCTAGAATATATTAAATTGAATATAGAAATCGTGGTCAGCTATTCTAAATAACTTTAAAGTTATTATTAGCTAGAATCCGTTTGCATACATTATAAGAATTATTACTTACCAGATGAAGAAGTTGCAGGTCGGCAGAAAAGACAGCAGCACCACTGACACGACAGAGAAACTCTTCCAAAGTCAAATATGCTCTCATGCACACCCCACTGACATAAATTATGTCATAAATTATGACTGTTAATGGTCAACCAGTGCTACATTTTTATTTTAAATGTAAGAATAACATTAGTAGGCTAGCAATTTTACCCGTGGAACTGTGTGTGGTGTTTTTCGCGGTCAATTGCACTGCTGTATTTAGATTAACAGTAACTGATAATTTCCCAGAATGCATTGCAATTCTACAGTAACATACTGTCAACTGTGTGCACAGTACATAACTGTTGAAAAAACAATTTAATACTGTGAAAACAACTAAATCTACTGTAACTTACTGTACATAGATTATACAGTAAGAAACTGTAGTAGTAGTATTGGAGCTGTTATTGTTTATAATTCATTGCACATTGTTTCGCCCCCAAAATAAGACCTTTTCTACATGATGCACAAGTACTGCGAAAACAAACACAAGAGAGGCACTGGAGAGAGAGCGAGAGAGACAGTTGAAAAAGTAAAGTAGGCATTAAAAATCTGTGCAGAGCTAAGGATGGGAGAGAGAAAAGAGAGACACTCTGAGGGGAAGATACAAATATTGTGCACAGAGAAGTGGAAGCAGAAGAACAGAGCGACATGTATTATAAAAACAGAAGCAGAGTCAGATGAGCATTGTTAGAAAGACAAAGAGGCATGGAGGGGTTATTTGTTTCTTTCTTTTGTTTACTCAAATGCTCTGAATAGGAATGGTCTTTACCATTCCTCCGAGAGGCAGGGACGTGCTGGCCAGCTCCGCTCCTTTTTTATCTTGTTCCCCCAGAATGAAAGATGTGTGCTCTCACCTAAACGTGCCAGGCTGTCACACTGGGCTCAAAACCCATTAACAGAGACAGAACATGGGTCAACAGGCCAGCCACTGATAAGGATGACCAAACTCTATTGCTTTCACACTAACGCACACATGATCATACCAAAACAAATGCTTGACCAGACACACAGCTGCACACATACACAATAAAAATGAGGAAGGCTATTTCTTTCTACCATTTAATTCTTTATGCTTTTGGTCTGTATCACATACACATGAATACACAGAGGTGCTAGCTTTGTTTTCCTTGACGTTCACTTCAACACAAGAATTGTGATAAATGTTATTGTATCTAATTGTGTTCTAATTTCTATGACTTCAATTCAATTCAAATTTATTTGTATAGTGCTTTTCTCAATACATATTGTTTCAAAGCAGCTTCACAGAAAGTGCATTTCAGAAATGTACATGGAAAAACACATTTAGATAATCATGTAATAATTTAGGGCATAAGATAACATATTGGCAGCGTTGAGTCGTCTCTTCACAGGCGTTGAGTCTTCTATTTATAGGCGTTTACTCGTCTCATCGTAGGTGTTGAGGCATCTGAAGTCTCGGTGAGAGGCTGGATACAAACTAGAGCTGACGAACGCCATTTTGATTACAGCAGAAAAGCAAATGGGAAATAATTAGCACAGCTGCTGTTCATAATGATTTCCATTACACTAGAGTAGATGTTAAAAACTTGAAGACAGTAGCCATGTTTCCATCCACTTGTCAATCGAATTATCTGAAATTCGGTTAAAAAACTCATGCGGATAAAGCTGGTGAAAGTGTGTTTCCATCCAACGGCTTTAAAGCGAATAAAAATCTGTGCGTAATGACGTCACATGCTGTTTTGGGATCAAATTGGTATATCGAATTGATTTGAGACATTTTAAGGTGATGTTTACATTTATTTTCGCAAGGAATCGAACAACATTCAAGCAAACTTTTGCGAACAAAGTTTTGTTAGACAAAACGGATCGCGCCATCTACAAAAAAATGATCAATATTTCACAAGTTGAAGGCTAATAATGCTTATGTGCCAGCTGATAGCGACATATGAATGGAATAATGTATGCGAGGCGGTTGTTGTATTCGCTATAACAACCGCCTCGCTATATATTATCCTGCTTATTACATATAAATCAACCAAATAAATAAATCAATAATTTGACACAAAATATTGACTTAAAAACGAGTTTATTGATTTAAAAACGAGTATTGCTTCTGCTAAAGAAAATAGTCTGTTCCGTCTCTGAACTGCGTCCATGGCAACGGTGTGTTATACTAGCAGCGCCGCAGTCTGTTAACTAGAAATAACAGACCACATTCTACCTTAGAATTCAACCAAGCCACGTAAAAACAAGCAAAACTAACCTAAGAAAACAACGACGCTATAAACATTGCTATGATGATGCCGATGCACGTATGCCCGACGACAGCGGAGGTGACTGTGGTGTGGGAACAAGCGCTCCATCAGTTCTGGGAGATCGTGGTTCACGGAAACCCTTTGGTTGAAGCATCTTTTTGCTTTGTCCACTTACATCTGTCTTTGTTGACATCCGCCATGTGTGCGCAAACAGACTGGCCGGAAATGAACTCGTCTTCTGACGTGTTGCAAGCATAAAACTTAATCGCAATTCATTATTTATTCGGCAAATAACGTTTCCATCAGCTTTTATCGCATTAGCCGTATATCGATCAAGAGAAAATTCGATGAGACCGAACGTATTTCATTTGAGTTGATTTTCATGAAATTTCATCGAATTTTACTGTTTCCATAAGGCTTTTTTCATTCGATATCACTTAATTCGGATAAAAACGTGTCGATGGAAACATGGCTAGTGACTTTGGCGTCCCAGAGTCACCCCCCTCTGTCCCCCACTCAACTCAGCCAGTTTACTGACCTCTACATCCCTCCTACTGCTGAGATCTAACCACAATCTCTCCGCAACCCAACCGTACACGCCAAACCGTTTGACTAAGGCTGTCGAGCCCCACTGGTGCGTTAATGCTGTTTCAGTGGCAACGGTTCTGTATGGCATACCACCTACCGCAAAACACAATATCTGCCCAACCACCCATCATTCACGCAATATCCACAGGAACGTAATGACTGTAAATAGGCTACTATGCAATATACAAATAACCTACAGACTCTTCAAGTTTTTTAATATTAAATTCGATCTGATTCAACATAGGAATAAAAGGTAAGCATTATGTGAATGCTTGGCTAAAGAGATGCGTCTTTAATCTAGTTTTAAACTGGGACAGCGAATCTGAGCCTCGAAACAATATCAGGAAGGCTATTCCAGAGTTTAGGAGCTAAGTGCAAGAACGCCTTCCCTCCTTTAATGGACTTAGATATCCTAGGAATGACCAGAAGCCTCGAATTTAGTGATCTTAAAGAACACGATTGATTATAGGGTGATAGAAGGTCCATTAAATACACTGGAGCTAAACCATTTAAGGCTTTATAGGTCAGTAGTAGTATTTAATAGCAGTAAATTACGTGTCATCCAGCATTTTATATCTTTGAGACCCTCTCACAACGCATCGCTAAGTATAAGTAGTATTGAGATACAACCTTGGTCAGAAGCTAAAAGTAAATCATTTGTAATTTTAATTGTGGTCTGAATCCTGACTGAAATTTTATATATTCATATATCATTTTCTTGCAAGAAAGAGCACAATTGAGCGGACACAACTTTTTCTAGTATTTTAGACATAAATGGAAGATTTGAAATGGGTCTGTAATTTGCTAGGTTATTTGGATCTAATTGTGGTTTCTTAATGAGAGGTTTTATTACTGCCAGCTTGAATATTTTTGGAACATGACCTAAAAATAAAGATGAGTTAATTTAAAATAAAATAAAAATAAAGATGGGACCTCAGAACAACCTCTCACCTTAACTGGTGAGATCTTAACTTAATCTGTTTTTGAACTTACTTCTAAACTGTTAATAAAGTGCATTCTGCATCTCGGTATTGTTTTGCGACTTACTATTCTCCACCATTTACGACTCCTGCCCCTTGACCTTGTGGGAAAGTAAATTAAAATAAAAATTTTAAGAAAGGGTAGTAAAAATTAACTTATCTTAAGATATTAAATATGTTTAATGTAAAATAGTTTTTGAACACCTTTACAGAATTAAAGCTAATATGATTAATGGTTTTAATCTAAAGATTGTTCTAAAGATTCTGAGCTCAATCATAATTATTTAGTTTTATACAACCCATAGTTTTAAACAATAAGTTGTCAACCTAATATGACGTATCCTTTTTTAATAAATTTTAATAGATTGATAAAATAAAAGCTAGTTATTTAATTTTAGAAACTCGCACAATGTAAAATTAGGTGAAAATACTTTTGAAATACCTTTCAAAAGTTTGAGGTTTGTTAATGTTTTTGATAGTTTTGCCAGCCATTTGATTTGTGTTACATTTTAAGTGTTTTAGTAGTATAAACAGGATGTTGAAGAGACAGTGTTTGTGTATTTGTGTGTTCACAATCTGTATATAGTTTGTGCATGTCTGCTTTTGTTTTTTCATTACATGCATTTTCTCTCTCATTTTACTTTCTCTCTGTAGGACTGGGTGACGGCTACAGATATTCTCATCTCTCTGGACAGATTGAACACTTTTGGAGATGAGTTCTTCAAAGATGCTAAAGTGCTTCGCTCGTATTTTTATGCCATATCTGATTTCTCCGTGGGGGGCAGGTGAATAAACACAACTATGTTATGTTGCGTGTGTTTTAGCTGTCACCGATGTTTCATTGACAGATGTATACTGACCAAGAGAAAGGGAGCAAATGACAGAAAATGCAAGTGAGTGATGTAATACCAATAGGAACTGTGCTTCAGAGAGAGAGAGAGAGAGAAAGAGAGTGTGTGTTTTGCCAGCCATTTGATCTGTGTTCTACATCTTAAGTGTTTTAGTAGTATAAACAGGATGTGGAAGAGACAGTGTTTGTGTGTGTTTGTTCGCCATCTGTATATTGTTTGTGCATGTCGGCTTTTGTTTTTTTCTTCATCATCAGCTCATATTGTATATCAAAGTATATTGTTATTTTTTTCCTTCGTAATAAAGTGCACAAATGTTAATGCTAGTTATCAGTGCAAGTTGGAGAAAATACACAACTCTTGCTAAGCTATAATATCTGCCCAACAAATGGCAAACACTCTGGTCAGAATGTGTTTTCTGATTATTTTTGACATATTGATCAACTCTGCCAATAAATATTCTCTGTTAAGGTCCCTGTAGTGTAGCATATCAAATTTTGCTTTGTGTTTTGATGTAACTTGGTTTTAAATTCAACCATCTGTCTCATTTGTAAATCTTGTCTCAGAATGCCACATCCTGAGCTTATTTTTCAGCAAAGTGAATTGTTTTATGAGTGTCCACAGAAAACAATGAGCCTTGAAAGAATGCTAATAATACGTTCTCAACTGTCTTTCAGATGCAAGTGTAATGGCCATGCCAGTCACTGCATGACCAATGAGGAGGGTAGTTTGGTGTGTGCTTGTGAGCACAACACTGCAGGGGTCGACTGTCAGCACTGCGCTCCCTTCTACCAAGAACGGCCATGGGCACGGGCCACCGCTGATTCAGCCAACCAGTGTGTGAGTGAGTACGGTCTGATTCTTTATCTATTGAAAATACCACACTTAGATGTTATGTATAATATATATATATATATATATATATATATATATATGAAGAGTTCAGATGCAAAAGCCTCTAAATGCCATTTGAAATTTTCTTCTTTAATGATGATTTTTATAAAACTTGTATATTTAAGTTCAGTAATTTTACTTAAATGGCAATGATAATTACCTATTAATTGTTATTGAAGTGAAATTACTGAACTTAAATATACAAGTTTGATAAAAATCATCATTAAAGAAGAAAATTTCAAATGGCATTTAGAGGCTTTTGTATCTGAACTCTTCATATATATATATATATATATATATACTATATATATATATATATGAAGAGTTCAGATGCAAAAGCCTCTAAGTGCCATTTGAAATTTTCTTCTAGAATGATCATTTTTATCAAGCTTGTATATTTAAGTTCAGTGATTTCACTTAAATGGCAATGATAATTACCTATTAATTGTTATTTAAGTGAAATTACTGAACTTAAATATACAAGTTTGATCAAAATCATCATTAAAGAAGAAAATTTCAAATGGCATTTAGAGGTTTTTGCATCTGAACTCTTCATATACTAACCTAAAGGAAGTAACGTAAGAGAACCTTTCTTTGTGCTTTTGTCACTTAACAAATCACATGTTCTTGATTTTATTGCATTTTACAAAATGTCCTTTTCTGTCCTTTTTCTTGTATATGCTCACACCATTCAGTAATTCAATCAAACAATGCATCGGTTAGCCTTTTAGCACAGTAACTAAGAAAGTTTCATTTGTGTAACGCGTTATATGTTTGTGTGCTGCAGCTGTCATGCGTCTCTGGTAAATACTTTAGGGGGATGCTGTAATTGGCAATTCTGACAAACCCATAAGCCGAAAAAAGCCATGTTAATTATTTTCATTCTGTATTCCACTAAGCTCCACGTTCCTTTAATTAACTTTCAGTGGTCAACAGATGGGTTTCTGTTGGTAATTGTTGTCCCTTCCCATCAAAGTGGATTTAATTTAATTTAATTTAGTTTTTGGTTTCAAAAGAAGTACTATCTGTTGGTGAGAAGGTGGAATCAACTGCAGATGCTTTCCATGCATGGTTGCTTTGCAAAGTTCTTCATCACAGACTGTGCCAAGTTTAGCATTTGCATGGCAGACCCGCAGAGCTGCCACCATATGCCTCTCTCGTAATGCCTCAAACAGATACGTTAATTGACTAAGGACGTCTTTTTTACCCTCTAGTCTGAAAGTGGAAAGAGACCATGAGACAAAAGATGAAAACCTAGCTTGTCAGCATAAAAAAGCTTGTTTGTTCTCAGTCATTTTTGATGGTTTGTTACCACAGCTTGCTTTTATATCTGTAATATAAATGGTTTGTTAAATTTTAATATTCTTCCTTGCATGGCTGCATCCATAAAAAAAGAGAAATTAGGCCAACCTAGAAATATTTATTCATCACATCCACACATATCTTATGCATATTTACTAAAATATTTATATACATGTTGCAACTACATGAAACTCACCATGTAGTTGCCTGAAATATGATTTTTTTTTTCTTGAGTTTGTTCCTAGTTCTTTTGTTGAACTAAGAAAGTATTTTAATGTCAAAAAATAAAATTGTACATTTCCTTTAATAAATATTTCTCCCTATCTGTTGTATGTCTCTTCTAGTATAATGGTGTGTAATCCTTCAATGGCAGCTCAAGAAACTGTGTCCCCTTAGAGAGTGATAATGTGATGGTTATTGCAGAGTCAATAGACTGACGAAACTGTAATAAAACGAGTAATGTCCCACAATGCCCCCTTTGGTGGCGGCTGCATAAAAAGCTGACTTGTGCGTTCTGGTTGGGTGATGTGTTGAGAAGAAGGGGCCTGTGGCAAGGGAGCTTATTAGGTTGTGTGTGTGTGTGTGTGTGTGTGTGTGTGTGTGTGTGTGTGTGTGTTCTAAGGCCTAATTAAACTGAACAAGCTGGTTTAAATGAATGTCCACTGCTATTTCTAATCAGTTTGATCTTTTTGTATCTTTTGTTTTGTTTCATCCATATCTTTTCCTCCACTTGTTTCTGTTACTTCTCAGAGTGTAACTGCAGTGGTCTTGCTGATGAATGCGTGTTCGATGCTGAGCAGTACCGCAGCACAGGAAGTGGGGGGCGCTGTGTTGGCTGCAGGGAAAACACAGCTGGCCCTCACTGTGAGCGATGTAGAGAGAACTTCTTTAGATCATTACCGCAACAGCCCTGCCAAGACTGCAACTGTAATGCAATGGGTGAGTTGCTTGTACATGCACTTAGTAAAGCAATTATTGTGCATTAGTCACACTCATGCACTAGTATCTTATATTAACCCATGTAATCAGACTTAAATGCTCTCTATCTCATTCTCTCATCATGCAAATGTATATTCAGTATATACTGCAGGTGCATATATGTGCATATATATATATATATATATATAGCCTACAGCTCTTAAGTAACTAGAGTGGAAAAAATAAGCCACACAAACACAAAGAAATTCAAACAGGGATTTTCTACAATAGGAGAACTAGCAATAGTTCTGTTTTTCCATCCAAAGTTGCGCAAAATTATTGTGATGGCATACTTTGACTCAGACATTTCAGAATGATCAAACCAACATTTGAGGTGCTGTGCAATGAAACCGGTCTGCTTGTTAGTCCAGTTATCCAGTCACATCCACAGTTGAGGCAAAGTCACGTGAGTTTTTGTTGCGCATGGAGGGACTTATTTGGTAAATGTACTTCAATCATAGTTCTATAATCCACCTAAAATGAGTGCATACGTTTTGGGTGCACATATTTAGAATTTATGTGCATCTTGGAATTTCAGTCCAACTTTTTTATGTGATATCCCAAAATGGTTAATGTGCAAGACTACAGGTGATAAATAAGGGGGAAATGTTTTATTTATTTAAACAACTTCAGATAGAATTTTAAATATGAATTTGCATTTAGATATTGCAATATTAATGATTTTAAATTCCCAGAATGCAAGGGGGAATAAATGCACTTTTAAAATTATTTGTCACTGTTTAATTACATGTTAATGGTGTTCGTCTTGTATCTGAAATATCTGATTTTGCTTCAGGTGGCAAAATGTGTGTATAAAATATGTTAAAATTTGCATTTATTAACCTTTATTGGAATAATTTGTAGACAAGGAAATCATTTTTAAATGCAACTGAAACCATCCATGTACTCATTAAAAAACCCAAAGGCTAATGTCTGTCAAAACCTGTCTTCTCTCTGTCTCTCTGCAGGCTCTGTGAGTTTACAGTGTGATGCAGAGGGAGTGTGTGTGTGTCGGCCAGGTGTGTCTGGTATAAAGTGTGACATTTGCAAGCCTGGCTTCCATTCTCTCGGCCCTGATGGATGCAGGTAATGAGAGCGAGAGTATCTCTACCAAGAATTTGTCAAATGAGGAAAAACATTTGATTCTTGGATGCAGAAATCTTCAAACATGTTTTACTAGTAGCTAATTGGAAAGAAAGAAAGAAAGAAAGAAAGAAAGAAAG